ACAATTGAGATGGAAAAAAAATGTACAAAATGATGTAAAAATAGACTGTTATAAAATAAAATTTAAAAAAAAAAAAAAAGATGGTGGGCACGGCAGGGAGGCTCACGGGAGGACACAGGGTGGGTGGCAGGTGTGGGGGATGCTGCTCCCGTGAGGACGGCGCTGGAACCCCAGGCCACTCCTGTTTTCAGCAGCCCCCCTCAGCCCAAGAAGCGAACACGCCTCAGTTTCCTGGGAACAGGGATCCCAGAGGGTACCTCACCTCAGCCCCTGGGGGTCGAGCCGAGGACCCTAAGACAAAGAACTAGACCTGCACTCACGGGCTCAGCAGCTGCCCCCGACAAGGAGCCAAACGCTTACCTCCGCCTTGGGGGGACAGAGTGGGGGGAACAGCACCGCTTGTTCCTCAGGGGAGCGGCTGGGGCTGGAGGCGGGGGACGGACCTGAAAGGAGGAGACACAGGGTTACGCGTGGCACCGGCCTCAGGCCCGCGGAGGCTCTGCGGTGGGTCGCTGCCAGTCAGCCGCGGGGGGACGCCGCCGAGGGGGTGGGCTGGGCAGCCCCCACGCCCCACCCACAGCCCCGCCGGAGGGCCACGGGCAGCTGCTCCTCACCACTGTGACTGGCATAAGCTTTGCAGAAGGTCCATCTACTTTTCACAGGCCCGACATGCGGGAGGGGTCGGCTCCTGGGCGGGGGGGTGGGCAGCGGGGTCTGCCCCTGGGCAGCGCTGCTCTGTGCCCGTGTGCAGACCTGCCTCCTCGGCCGGCCTCGCCTCTGTAAGGCGCTCAGAGAAATTCTGGAAGCCCTCCCTGGTGGCGCAGCGGGTTAAAGCACAGCACCAAGAAGCCAAAGCCACCGCAGCATGAGTTCGATCCCCGCCTGCCCCGGAGGTGACCACAGGGCGCGGCAGACCTCTCCTGACCCGCCCGCTGCTCCCCTCAGCAGTGTGCTTCGTCTGTCAGCCTGTTCTGCTCCCCACTCTGTCTCTGGTGAAGCCTCTCACTGCCCCTGCAGCTCTGGCCTGTACCCCAGTTCTATCTGCATAAATAAATAAATCTTAAAAAAAAAAGAAATTCTGGAGGCATTTCTCCTGCCAACAAGCCTCACCTCTCTCTGGGTGCTCTGGGGTGGCGAGTGGCCGCTCCTCCTCATTTTCTGAAACCCTCAGCTCCAGCTCAGCTTCCACCTCCGCCCGGTGCCACTGGCGGAGCTGGGTCTCGGCGTCCGACGGGAGGTCGTCAGACCAGTGCTGATCTGTCAGGGGAGGGAGGGCGCGGGATGGGACGCCCCGAGTGAGGCCAAGCTCCTCGCCCAGAGCCCCCTTCCTCAGAGCCCCACCCAGCCAGTGCTTCAGCTGCAGCACAGTCATCTGCCTTCTGGGTCTGGCCGTTCCCCCGCTCCAGGCCCCACCTATGGGGTCCCCAACAAGAGCTTCTGAGATTGGTCAAAAGCACGTCACTCTTTGCGACACAGTGTTTGTATCAGTCCTGCAGAGCTCAGTGTTCTTTTGGAAACACAGCCCAGGGACTCGCCAGGCCACGGCCGAAATGCCAGAAACGCAGGCCTGGGCCCACGCACCCCACGGGCTCCGCCGGGCTCCGGGGCACGCCCAGCCCCGCTGCCGGCCCTCGTCCGAGGCCAGCGCTCCCAGCCTCCCTGAGGTCTCGTCATCTCTCCCCAACCTGCCAGTCAGAGTATCGTTTTAAAAATACTCTCTCCTTGTAGCTAGCCTGCAGAAGGCATCCACTGGTCGAGAACCTCTAGCTGCTTCTCCACAACTTAATGAACGTGCTGTGTCCAGGGGGCCTCTGGGGCCCTGAGCGGACGCGCCTGCTGGTTAGTGGCAGGACAAGGACAAGCTGGGACACGCAGCCCTGCCTCCGGCGCTTTGTTTTTGCTGGAACGCACATTGCTTTATCTTTCCTGAGTTCAAATGGTGGTCGCCACCGCGGAGGGGAGGCCTGGGGGTCCCGCGTACCGTCATCCAGCTCAGCACCAGTGTCCCCTGTATCCCCATTCTCTGCTGCCTCCCCTTCTATCTCTGCAGGTTCCGAGTCTGCATCTTCCTCCAGGTCGTGCTCATCAAACGGGGCTGTAAAGAAGAAATGTTCAAAGGAAGAAAAAAGGAAAGATGGGAAGAGAGACAGAGACAGACGCTTTGGCGAGTCTCAGGGCGTAACGGGGAGCATGAGGAGGGAGAAGACAGGTTCTGAAGGGTCTGGATCTGACCCCCTGGTGGAAGCTGGGCATGGGGGCCTCTCTAAGGCTATGGGGGGAGCGGGCTTCGGGCCCATGCTGAGCACACGAAGTCAGCATTTCTCAACTCTAGAAGATCAAGAGGAAGGAGGAGCCGTTGAAGCTATCTTTCCGCCTCCTCTGGTAGCTGTTGCAAGAGCCTCATGGTTGAAAGGGGGGGCTCTTCTCCAGCCCAGCCAGTGGGCCCCCACCGCGAACAGCAGAAATAATGGCGTCCAGCTACCCGGGCTCATCTGCCAGGCCCGAGCCGGGCACTCCACACACCACAGCCACTGAATCCTCATCCGAGCACAAGTCGAGGACTCTTCCTCACTCCTTTCCTTTGGTGAGAAAAGCTGTGGTCCAGACGGCCCCGTGAGCGGCCACATTACGTAAATGGCCTCACATCTCAGTGTGGCAGCCCGTCGGTGTGCCGGGGTTCACTGCTGGATGAGGCACCAGCGGAACCCCAAGGGCACTGCACCTCCTCTTTCAAGTGGCAGAGCGCAGCTTCTTTAGGGGAGACTGTAGAGGAAGTCTTGGCAACACTTAAGGAAGAGGGGTGCGGGGATGTGTAAAACCAGCTCTTCAGCAGCACAAAGTGAGGCCGGGCACAAGGAAGCATTTCTCCTGAGGAAGAACCAGCATGCACACACACACACACACCCCAACCTCAGCACCCCGAGAACTCACACTACCAGGCTGGAGTAAGAGAAAGCGGTCAAGAAGCATCATGGAGGAGGCCGTGGAACCCGGGACCTGCGGCTGACGGCCCGTTCCCGGGGGCCCCGGTTTCTCCGACGGCTCTAAGCACGGCTACCCGCGAGCCACTCGCAAGGGTTTCCTTCAGGGACGGGCTGTGCCTGTGTGCACAGACACCCGAGGCCCGTCGCAGGCAGCAACGAGCGGGTGTGCAGCAGGGCGCCTGTAAATGTCACGTTGGCACACGGCGGGCGGCGCGGCCCGGCCCCCGGGCGGCATGTGCTGCCGAGGACGCACGCGGGCCCTGTCAGGAGCACCAGGCGGGCGCCCGAGGGCGGCTAGAGCGCTGCTCTAGGGCCACTTGTGGGGCGGGGAGGGAGGGGGGCGCCTCCAGGTGTGCCGACGCCTGATCCCTTGACCGCGGTGGCCGTGATAGGCAGTTTCTTCTTTTTTGATAAGTCCTTAAGCGGTCCGCTTAACCTACAACCCCCTCTGTATACTCAGCTTACTGAAGCCAAGGGGTGACGCACACCCAGCTTTTGGAGGACGGACCAGGAGGTCTGGCGTGGACCAGACAGCCTAGCTCACGGGGCTGGGGGGGCTCCAGGTAAGTCCTGGCTGGCGAGAGTTAGCGTCCTGTCCCTCCCGAGATACCGGAGCAGCTCACGGAGCTGGCGATGCTGAGACACCTGACTGTGAAGCCGCCACTTTCTGTGCAAGCTACTGGGGGACAAACGACTCAGTTATTCCACAGTTTGAAAACTCGTGTGGTTAATGCTGCTGCCGGTCACTCAAGGCTGACTCTACGGCACGACCGGTCTCGGGGTGCGCAAGCCCAAGGTCTCCCTCTGGACTGCAGTTGCCCTACACCATTCCTGAGAAAGACGGGCAGAACTCAGAACTCTCCTCCCTCAGTATCCTCCCTGCCTGGCCGTCCAGGGCTGAGGCCCGGCTGGACCCAACACATGTCCTGGATGAGAGCCAGCACCCGGCCGGCGACGCTGACTACGCCTTCACTGGTGAGTGCCCAGGAAGTGGGGACACCAGAGCCGGCACACAGGCCTCCCCCATGTGGCACCGCCCAGGCACACGGGCCCTGTGCCCGCATGCTCTCTCCTCAGTTTCTGAAAGAAATGGCTGCTGTAGAGTCAGGAGAAGTCTACAGCTCTCGGGAACACCTTGAAAGGAAAAACCGTCACGCATATCAGAACACAAGCAAGTGCGAAATATCAGGGCAGCAGCAGCAGTTGAAAGAGACATGGGGCGTGGAGCTGGGGGATTAAATTGAGGTTAAGATGGGGTGCAGGGTGCTGGAAGCTGCCACACGCCATGGAAGCCAGGAATCGCTGACATACTTAGCTCTTGGTTCATTTCAGCTGCCGGCTGGGAAGTCCTGATACCCTGGCCCTGTCCACCCATCCTGGGGTAACGCACTGGCCAGGAAAGGGGTGACCCGTTTTGCTTCTGTCCACAGAGCCAGCTGCCTGGGGTTTGGCTCGCCCTACAGCTGTGTGTGAGGAGCAGGGTGGGCTGGTGAGGGGCTGGTGGTAAGGACCGTTGGGCACTGGCCCTGCCTGGCCCAAGAAGTAGCTGCCAGGACAGTAGTTCTCGAGCAGGGGCGATACAGCCCTGCCTCACAGTACTGACCTCGTGTGGCACAGGCTGAGGATGTTAAACGTCCTCAAGGGAAAGCACTGAGCTGCCAAGTACGCCAGCTGCCCCTGTGCAAAACACCTCTCCAGACAAGTTCCGGGGGGACACGAGGCTTCTCAGCCATCTCTTGGCTCTGACTGACCCTTGCACCTCAGTCTGAAGACCCAGCTGATGGGACCCTGGTCACAGCCAGCCTGTCCCTCTGTGTCTAGCTGAACCAAATCCACTGGCCTTCCGCTGTCCCTTGTCCACTGGTAAGTTCTCCAGAGGCCCCTCAGTACTGCCTCCTTCGGGTCCTTGGGTCGGTGGGTGGAATTCTCACTGGCTCTTCGGCTTCCACACTCAATTAGGAGCCAGCTGGGTTTCTCTGGACTTCACATCTCAGAGCCAAAAGTGTTCCTCCAGCTAGGCCTTCTCCCGCCCGTAGGCGGCCCCTGCCCCGGGCCCCCGAGGCGCGGGAGCCCGCTGGCCCATGCGAGGACGGCGCAGCGGCATGCACGTGGCTCCCGCCCCCCTCGGCATGCACCGCCCAGGCCCGCGATTCTCGTGTTAAGGAACCAGCACAGCTACCGAGAGAGAGTGGTTACGGTGAGTGGGGCGAGAGCAAACATCACCAGACTACCTCCGGAGACCGTCTCCAGCCAGGCCTGCACTGCCGCGTGGCGTGTGGAAGGAAGGTCAGGCACTGGATTCAAAACAGACGACAAACACAGAGTTACACAGCAATACGGCTGGGGGGTGGTGCCTAAAGTCCAGAACAGCAGGGAAGCTGCCGCGAGGTTGAGAGCCAGAGGCCCGTCCGGCACCTCAGGGTCGGCCCCTAGGGACAGGGATGTGGTGGGGCCAGGGAGAGCCAACACCGAGGTGTCAACACCGGCCAGACGCCGCAGAGTCGCTGGGTGTTTCTGTTGCTGCAAAAGTCCTAACAGAGGGTGGTCTGACGTGCCGATGCTCAAGGACGCACACCCGAAACGCACGTGACGTGACAATGCACTGCTACTTCAATTAAAGAAATGAAATGAAAAAGGGAAGAAAAGGTTGGTGAAGATGTGGGACTGGGGCGGGGCATGTCCCACTCAACGCTGAGTTCACGAAGGCAGAGACCATCGCTTCATAAGCTCAAGCCCTGCAGTGCGTGGCCCCAACACGCGATGAGGGAGTGGGAAGGTGAGCACGGACAGAGGCCCTGGTACTCGGGTCCCGACCTGAACACGGACGCCGTGAGGAAGGGCGGCCTGGGGGACGGCGGGCGGCCTGGGGGACGGCAGGCGCCTGGGGGACGGCAGGCGCCTCACATCCTTCCCGGCTCGCTGGTCCCTTTCGTCGCTCACCGGCCCTGTCACTGCTTGCTAGTCCACCACGGAGCAGGGCCCTGACCTATGTCCTGAAGCTGAGGCCACGCTAGCCCCTCGAGACCGCCCTGATCTGGGGCTCTCCTTAAAGCGTGTTTTGGATTGAAACCTGCCTCCCCGACCCCGCCTGCCAATGCACACTCACACTCAGGCGCACGCCATGTGGAAAGCACCAGAAACGTGTTAGCAAGTGTAGAAAGAGAAACCTAGAGGTAGTAACCAAGCCCATCCTTGGTTTTCCCAGGGTCAAGTTCATGTTACAAATCTGCATCCGTGGAGAACTTTGCATCCTCCGGCCACGGAAGCCACAGAGAGCTTTACATATCTGCAGATGAGAGCCACGGAGGGCGGTGATGACAGGCTTCTGTGGACTCTTACTTTGGGGGGCCGGGGACAGAGGGTACTCGGAGGGGCGTCGGGGCCTTGGGTCTTGGCGAGGTTACCTCTAGAAGCAGAGGACTCGGAGGTTGGTACCACTCTCTCCTCCTCTTTCTCGCGAATGTGTGTCCAGTGCACGTCAGCCTGGATCTCCAAGGGATCCGCGGGGTTTATGACGGGCTGGAGCCTCTGTCTCCCGGCTAGTGTGCCAGCGAAGATTCCGGGGTGCCGGTGGGGGGGGCGGGGACAGGAGCGGTAAGGGAGAGGGGAGTGAGCGAGGGGAGAATACATAGTCAAGGGAAGGAGGGAGCGAAACACCACAGGAGAGGAAACAGAAAGAAAGTTACAGTATTTGCCAGTTTAAATAAGAGGCAAAATTAAGAATATGTGCTCACGTGTGTGCGTACACAGACACAGACACACAGACACACACACAGACACACACACAGACACACACACACACAGACATACACACAGACACACACAGACACACATACAGACACAGGCACACAGATACACAACACAGACACACACACACACAGACACACACACAGACACACAGACACACACACACAGACACACACAGACATATACACAGACACACACAGATACACACAGACACACATACAGACACACACAGACACAAAGATACACAACACAGACATACACACAGACACACATACAGACACACATACAGACACACACTGAGACACACAGACACACACAGACACACATACAGACACAGACACACAGATACACAACACAGACACACACAGACACACACACACGCAGACACACACAGACACACAGACACACACACAGACACACACAGACATACACACAGAGACACACAGACACATACAGACACACACAGACACACAGATACACAACACAGACATACACAGACACACACACAGACACACACTGAGACACCCATACAGA